TTAGTTTACCTTAGAGTGGGTATTGTGTTTTGTTCAGAAATTGCAATCAGTCATCAGGCTCCTTCAGTAATACCTATAACGCTACCACCTCTTCTTCACTCCCTCTCTCTGTAGGGGTCCCTCAAGGTTCTGTCCTTGGTCCCCTTCTCTTCTCCATCTACACCTCCTCCCTTGGTCACTTGATAAACTCTCACGGCTTCAAGTACCATCTCTATGCTGATGACACACAAATCTATCTGTCTACCCCTCACCTCACCCCTTCAGTCTCCACTCGCATCGCTAGCCTACTAAGTGACATATCGGCTTGGATGTCACTCCACTTCCTCAAACTCAACCTTTCCAAAACTGAGCTCCTAGTATTCCCCCCAGCCCATGCCACCCCCACTGACTGCACAATAAATATCGATAACACAATCATCAGTCCTGCCCCTCATGCCAGGGTACTAGGTGTAATCCTGAACTCCCATCTGTCCTTTCACCCCCAGATCCAATCACTGACAAAATCATGTAGACTTCACCTCTGCAACATCTCCAAGATACGCCCGTTCCTAACCACGGAAACCACTAAGCAACTTATTCACTCCCTTGTTATCTCTCGCCTCGACTATTGTAACTCCCTCCTCATTGACCTACCTCATCACAGGCTATCCCCTCTTCAGTCTATCATGAACGCTGCTGCCAGACTCATCCACCTTACTAACCATTCTGTATCCGCCACCCCTCTCTGCCAATCCCTCCACTGGCTCCCAGTTGCCCAATGGATAAAATTCAAAACACTAACAATGACATATAAAGCCGTCCACAACACTGCCCCAAATTACATAACCGATCTTGTCTCTAAATATCACCCAAACCTTACTCTCCGCTCCTCGCAAGGCCTCCTACTCTCTAGCTCCCTTATCTCCTCCTCCCATGCTCGTCTCCAAGACTTCTCCAGGGCGTCCCCCATCCTCTGGAACTCCCTACCCCAATCTATCAGACTATCGCCTACTCTACTTACTTTTAGGCGATCACTGAAAACCGATCTCTTCAGGGAAGCCTATCCCGACCTCTGCTAATACTGGAATCCTCTACTCTTCCAACCACTCCATCCTCCACAGTTATTACCTATTGTACCATTCACCCCTCCCTCCTAGATTGTAAGCTTCAAGGAGCAGGGCCCTCAAATCCCTCTTGTATTGAACTGTATTGTTACTGTACTGTCTACCACTATAATGTAAAGTGCTGAGCAAACCATTGGCGCTATATAAATCCTGTATAATAATAACTAGAAAAGCTACAATTTCTGGGGAAATTATGTGAAGTGTTCTTGCCTCCACCAGTAGTCTACAACTGGAGTGGACAGAGTAACTGGGTGGAGCGGCTTGTCACTCTGCTGCCTGCTCACACACCTGGGTTCCTATGGCAACTCACTCTACAGCAAGGGCAGAGAAGAGCGGTTAAAAACAAACTGCTCCAACTTGCTCACTTCACTGGCGGTTGCCATTTTCAAATGGTTGTAGTTTAAAAAATTATAAATCCTACACTGAAAAGCTTTATATTGTGAGAATCACAACCCAGACCTACATTTTGATGCATAGTATGTCTCTGAAATATTAAAAATGAAGGCACAGTCGCAGTTTAGAAATTGCCCTTCAAATTTTAGGTGGCTAGAGTAGAGTTTCAATGAATGTCAATGGGCGGCATGAGTTGCAAACAAATGGTCATATTGTGCAAACTATCAGGACTATGGCTTAGCCGTGTTTTTAGTGGCAGCAGGGATAGCTGAACGTTTTGATATAAGATTTGTGTAGGTGGGCTTGAAAATGAGGGAGTGATGGCAGTTTAGAAATCATGTCCTGATTTTTCAGCTCACACTCTAGCTTTTGTCAGCTCCCACTCTAGTTTTGAACATTCCGCCATTCATTCCTATGGGACCAATTACACCACAAAAACGCCTATATTTCGTGAACCATTCGGCGAAACGGTCCACAAAGTAATAGCACATCAATCGGGAACAATCCGCACGTTTCAGTATATTACTGTCTATGTAGTGTAAAAACTGTGGGAGGAGTTAGGGTGGTAAATTTGGCTATAATAATAAGAATATATGTGTGAGATAACAGTAAGTGGTCTTGCCATGCAAGAACACTTAATAAGGCCTTCTCCTGAGAGACATCTAAAAAGTAAACAGTATTTGAAATAAATGTTAAAGTATGCTGTGTAAATGGGAAGACTTAAAGTTATACTAAACCCCGGACCCTGCATTCACTATATCTGGTCTCCCACAGTAAACAGAACATGGAAATGCAATTCTTTTAGCAAATATAAACAGCTAAATACCTTTTCTCATCAGCAGTATATAGCAGTCATGTGACTTGTGTGTCTGGCTGAGCACTGGTTAAAGCTTGTAGGAGGAGTTTTTATTCTCCTCTGACTGTCCTATGAGATTGCATGACCCCTGACTCGCTGTCTGGACCAGGGGCGGACTGACCATTGGGAAACTCGGGCACTGCCCGAGGGCCCAGGGTCAGTAGGGGGCCCCATGAGATGTCCCTGGTACCTGTCATAGGCTTTTTTAGGTGGGATTTGAGTGTGGGCGAGGACACAGGGGCCCCATGATCCCCTATTGCCCGGGGGCCCCATGAGTTGTCAGTCCGCCCCTGGTCTGGACCATGCTGATTGGCCCTGTGCTGATCATATGCACCCTATCACTGTGTGGAGCTGTGCCTGGGTGGGGCAGGGAGACTTTGCGGAGTGTCAAGGAAGTGGAATGTTGAAGAATTTTCCAGTGAGAGGTGTGGAGTGTCCATTGTGTGTCCGAGAGAGGAGGCTGCTGGCCCAGAAAGAGAAGAGGATAGAGCCCGAAGAGGAGAGGAGCCATGACCTGGAATGTTAGCTCCCCGGACAAACTTGTTGGCTAAGCAGGAGGTGAGAAGCGGCTGTGTGGCTGGGAGAAGGTCTGGGGTCACCCATAGGAAGGGGACATGGTCTGGCTGGGGTTAATCATTCCACGGCCAGAAGGGGGCCTTCCCCACTAGGAAGACCTGGCTTCTGTCTTCTAGCACTGACCGCCTCATATAATGGAATATGTTCCCCTCTCATCATCATCTGAATTCAAATTTCCTGCAGGCATGAAAGAGTTAATTAACCCATTTGTGACCGGTTATTTACACAAGATGCAGTCAGGCACAAGATGCAATGTCAATGTGTATGCGAGAAAAACATATTCCGCTCCACAAAAGCGCATGAACGTGTGCAAACTTGCATTGAAGTTTTTGGGGGTTTTTTTGCAAGTAGCTGGTCTTGCTTAGGGCACAAAATAGTCTAGCACCGGCTCTGGGTGTGTTACTGGCCAGATCATCAGTTGAAAACAAAGGAGAAAAAATGTTTAAAAAAGAAAGCTAATGAAGCCACAGCAGGATTGGTAAATTGCAACCACAGCTTACAAAGCCATCCACAACACTGCCCCTAGCTACATCGCCAACCTCATCCGCAGATATCGCCCACTCCGCTCCTCCCAAGATATCTTCCTCTCTAGCTCCCTCATCACCTCCTCCCACGCTCTCCTCCAGGACTTCTCCAGAGCCTCTCCCATCCTCTGGAACTCCCTACCACAGTATGTCCGGTCACCCCTCACCCTGTCTGCCTTTAGACAATATTTGAAAACTCACTTATTCAGGGAAGCCTACCCACCTCCACCTAAGAACTGTACTTGAATCACCTCCACCAGATCATCCCCCGCAGCTATCATTTTTTTGTATCACCTCCCCCTTCCTTTAGATTGTAAGCTCCGCGAGCAGGGCCCTCATATTCCTTCTGTACTGAAATGTATTGTAATTGTACTGCCTCCCTTATATAGTGAAGCGCTGTTGGCGCTATATAAATCCTGTATAATAATAATATATAAAAAATGTTTGGTTTTGGGTTTAATGCCACTTTAATTCTGTGACAGACTTGCCACTAAATACTCTTACTTTCTGCACAATTTGGAGAACTACAACTGTTTCTGTGAAAGCAAATGTACTGTTACTGTACTTCCAGTTGCTGTCAACACATACAAGGATTTGCAGACATTGTTCTATAGCATGTCAGAACTAAACCAGGAAATACATAACTCCCCAATCTGCTGTATGTAAGCTGCGCAGTCATTTAGCATGACATCAATCAGTGAATAGGAGCAGACACACAAGTATGTCCTCATGTCAGCCTTCAGCTGTTTATTAGCTGCTTCTATATTGCAAGCTGATAGGTTATAGTAAGTGATTTAGGGTCCATCCGCAGCAGGCCTAAAAAAAATGCCAATTCCCCTGGCAGAAGGAAACACTCATTTAGAGTGTTTTTGTATATGCATTTGGGAGCATTTAGCATTTTTTTTTTCTGCCAGAAAACCCCTCTCAAAAACAAAAACCAGAAGGGGTTTTTTTGTAAATTATTATTATTACATCGAGTTTATATAGCGCCAAAGGGTTTGCTCAGTGCTGTACAATAGAGGGGGGGACAATACGTGAAACAGTACAACAACAACAAACAGCACACGAGGGGTTAGAGGGCCCTGCTCTTTTGAGCTTACAATCTAGGAAATGCTGAGCTTAAAATATATCTTTAAACATCCTAATGTGCATGGATAGATAGGATAACACTGAGCTGCTTTTACAGGCAGAAAAAAGTAAAACTCCTGTAGAAGCAGCTTTTTTTAAGTCCAGTGTGCATGGACCTTTAAGCACTTGCCTACCGGGCACTTTCACCCCCTTCCTGCCCCGGTCAATTTTCAGCTTTCAGCACTGTCACACTTTGAATGACTATTGCACAGTCATGCAACACTATACACATATGACATTTTTATCATTTTTGGAGACATATAGTAATATGACGAATGCAAGGTGGTTCTCTCGTTCTGGGAGGACGTCATATGACGTCCTCCCATTCTCACCGCTCATGTGCGGCTCAGGGAGCGCGTAGTGTGCAGATCGGCAGTGCGCTGTGTCCCTCAGACACAACGAATCACCGATCGCAGAAAGAGCCGAAGATGTCGGCTCGGTCATGTGTTTAGCTGTGTCCAATCACAGCTGATCACATGTAAACAGGGAAATGCCGGTTAACGGCATTTCTCTCCTCTCGAGCTGTCACGCTGACAGCTCGAGAGGAGAGCCGGTAATCGGCTTTCCACGGAGGGGACATGTACACTAATCATCAGGGCACTGATGATCAGTGTGCCCTGATGATCAGTGTAGCCCCAGCAGCGCCACCTGTCAGTGTCCATCAGTGCCAGCTGTCAGTGCTCATCAGTGCCTACCAGTGCACATCAATGCCACATATCAGTGCCCATCTGAGCTGCCTTTCAGTGTCACCCATCAGTGCCAGTCAGTGCCACCTATCAATGCCAATCAGTGCCACCTATCAGTGCTGCCGATCAGTGCCACATATCAGTGCCAGACAGTGCCACCTATCAGTGCCAATCAGTGCCGCCTATCAGTGCCAGTCAGTGCCGCCTATCAGTGCCAGTCAGTTCCGCCTGTCAGTGCTGCCTATCAGTGCCATATATCAGTGCCATGTATCAGTGCTGCCTTTCAGTGACCATCAGTGATGCTTGTCAAAGCCCATCAGTGCCACCTACCAGTGCCTCCTCATCAGTGCCCATCAGTGCAGCCTATCAGTGCCCATCACTGCAGCCTCATTAGCGCATATCAGTGAAGGAGAAAAAATCACTTATTTACAAAGTTTTATAACAAAAACTAAGAAAAAACTTTTTTTTTTCAAAATTTTCAGTGGGTTTTGGCTTGTTTAAGAAAAAATAAAAAACCCAGAGGTGATTAAATACCACCAAAAGAAAGCTCTATCTGTCACAAAAAAATGATAAAAACTTCATATGGGTACAATGTTGCATGACCGTGCAATTGTCATTCAAAGTGTGACAGCGCTGAAAGCTGGAAATTGGCCTGGGCAGGAAGGGGGTATAAGTGCCCTGTAGGCTTGTGGTTAATCACCACTGGGTTTTCTATTTTTTGCTAAACAAATGAAAAAAGACCAAAAATGTAGAATTTTTTTTTTCTTAATTTTTGTTATAAAATGTTTCTCCCTCACTGATGGGAACTGTTATGCAGCACTGATGGGCAGTGATAGGCTGCACTGATGTGTGGCAGTGATGGGCACCAATAGGAGGCACTGAAGGTTATTGATAGGCGGGACTGACTGGCGACACTGATGATCGCTGACTGGGAGCATTGATGGACACTGACTGGTAGCACTGATGGACATTGTTGGGACTGCGCTGATGGACACTGTTGGGGCTGCACTGGACTGCCTTGATTTTTAAACACATTTGCAGCTGTGAGGAAAGTGCAGCCGATAACCGGCAAATGTATTTACATTGTGATCAGCTGTGTCATTGGACACAGCTGATCACGTGGTAAAAGGGTGCTGTGATTGGCCCTTTACCATGTCATGTGATCAACTGTGTCTGACAGACACAGTGATTACAGGGCTTGCCGGGTGCGCGCCCCAGGGTGCCCATGGGAGGTGCTGTTCTGGAGGATGTCATATGACGCCCTTGCAGAACTAGACAACCGCGCTGTAGCCTTGACAGTCTGCAGGAGACCTGCATGACATAAGCAATCTGCTGATCGCTGATGCAATGATTTAGCGGCACCTAACACAAAAAATAATAAATGCACATTTTTTTACCTACACAAAAAAATGTAAATTCATTTTTTTTTGTGGAAAGGTGAACTTATCCTTTAAACAGTTTATCGTTAATTGTGGTCACTCCACTTAAATTGAATTTTTAAGTTTTTGGAATTATATTGATGGGAAAACCTGCCAGACCTTCCTTCATTGAAACAGCTAAAAGGGACACTGACAACACTCAAGCACACATGGTTCACAAATGGATGACCAGAAAGATAACTCAAGTCCCAGGTCAGTTTTGAGAAAATTGTTGAATTTTCAAATGCTCATCTGGTCAATGCTCTCTCCAATGGTGGCCTACTGTTTAGTGGATTATATGAAGGTAATATGAAAAATTATTTGGGTACTTATACTAGCTGTATTTAAAATTGTATATGTTTGCAAATACATGATGCACTGTATCTTTAGTTTTAAGGATTTTGGATTTGTAACAATCAGGGATAGAGATGCCAGCATGGGTGGAAAATAAACAACATCTACACTTGGTCAGTACACATCTATGGCATCCCTTTAAAGTGGTTGTAAACCCTTCCATATACCCAGTGAAGTGACTGGTCTCAGATGATACACAGAGATCAAACAAATCCTCCTATATAAGTTGTACCTGTCTATCTGCAATATTCTTTTCTCTACATTCTTTCAAGTGCCAAAATCATAATGCTTGTCTTGGAGTTCAGAAAAAAGGGGGAGGATGGCTAAAATTGCACACTAAAGAGCTCAGTGAGGGGAGATCTGATAGCTGATTGGAGAGAAGAGACACCCCCTCCTCCACACAACACACAGGAACAGAGCTGGGGCTGTCAATCTGCTGGTGCTCCCTCCCCTGTCACCATTTTTCTCTTGGTGTCAGGAAAACCTGTCAGAAGTGACTCATGAAGATAGCAGAGGAACAAAGCAGCAGACAGAAATTACATGTAGTGCTCTTAATTGAAGTAAACATTATAGAGGGATATGCTTTGTTCATATTTCATGTCTGAGGTTTACAGTCACTGTAAGTTATATTTCACTGTTATTCACTTTTCTTATTAATGAACATATACATTCTGCATAACATAATCTAGACTTATATAACATAGAAAATTGTCTACCAAAAGTAGAAGATGCAGGCAGACCCAAGATATCTCATTCGCTCCTATGTATGAGCCCTTATTTGATGACTGCAAAGAATTTAGCACATCTATGCCTTATGTCCACACTTCCCAGTTTTGGTCCAAAAATGTCAACTGAAAGCGGAGTTCCACTCACACTGCCAAAAAAATAAAAGCAGCTACAAAAACTGTAGCTGCTGACTTTTAAAAAACAGCCACTTACCTGTCCCTCAGTCCCGCGGTGTGTCTCCTGCAGCCCGTTTCTCCGGCCGTCCTGTATTCCAGGAGGCCGGCATCTTCAGTGTGGGCACCCTGCTGTGATAGCTTGTGGCTTCACAGCTGGGTACCCACTGCGCATGCGCAAGTAGCGCTACTCTTCATCAATGGTCCTGTAGTCTTCTGGGACCTGTCACGTGTCCCACAAGACTACAGGGAGGGCGGACACCTTCTGCTTCCGATCTCCTAGGTGATCAGACCGGAAGTGGTAGCGGGTACCTGTCAAATTTGGGTACCCGTTTCCCCGTCCCCCAAAGGTGCCAATCCTTAATGGGGAGCAATCCTTAAAGCGGAACTTCACCTTTTGGGTGGAGCACCGCTTTAAGTATAATTAGAAGTACCTGGTAATAATTGAATGTTTTTATTACTCCAAAGCACTTTGTTACAGTCTACATATTATGAATGGTGGCCACTTGGGGGGAGGTGGCAAGATATTGCCCAATACAGGCTCATATGTAGTTGGCTACATTGGAAATGTATTCTGTGGACCTAGGTGGCAGAACTGGATAGTGTCTATTGGTAGGGCTCCCAGATTTTGTGCAAGGTCACGTGACAGCAACTGCGTTTTTTTAATTGAAATTCACAGCTTTAAAATTCCTTACTAAGCCGATGACAGCTGCATCATCTCAGTGTGGAAAGCAATGTGAAATGCTATGATTCTGTCTGATATGCATACTTGTTTTGTGAGAAGATTTGCTTACTCATCTGGATTGCAGGCACAAACAGTAAAAAAAAATAATTAATATAATTCATCATTATAATCTATAATAAGCTTAGTGTTCAAGTCCCCAAGGCTGTTCCTTTGATGTCCTTATCCCTCCCATGAGCTGTTACCAGGGGAGCCACTTAGTTTGCTATAGTGACCACTATAGTGATTATGAGGGTGTTGGACAGGACAGAGAAGCTGACATCAATCAAGCAGTATACAGCTAATTGCCATTGACCATGAGACTTGCATAGAGATGGCACAAAAATTGAAGCACATATAATCCCCATCACTAAAATCTAATATAAGCTTCAACAGATTATAATGGTTTTAAATCTACTGTCTTTCATTAATCTAACTACCTATGATCTAACTATGTAGGTCTAGCCATTTTTTACATAAAAATAAAAAATATTACTTATTAACAAAAAAAAAAAAATGGCCCTGCACATTTTTAGCTTCAGTTTGGATTAAGACATCAGTTAGAAGCTCTACAGCAGTTAAGATTACTTTCTTCTTGAATGGGTTGCTTTTAGTGGTATTTCTTGAAAGAAAGTGATGAAAACTTGTAGAGCTCCTCTACAGAGATGGTGAACTTTAACCAGTAGGTCATTTGAGGGCAAAAGCTTTGTTTAGTGGGACATCCAGCACCATTTACATTCCATGAAATCAATTTGCATGGTTCCTGGGAGGTTTTGCCAGCTTTGGAGGGATGGTTGTTATGCTGTTTTTATTTAAACGCATCTGTTCCAATTCATTTAAGATACGTTTAGGTAGTTTGTATGAACCCTGTACATGGAACAAAAAAACAAGTATTTATATGTAAAAGACACTCATATGGAGACATGTTATTGCAAAGTTTTGTATTCCACAAATCTGACTCTTATGAGCATTTAGCATATACATTCATACACAGGTCCCTATTTCTCTGTAAAATGCCTAAAATGTATGTATAGTATTTTTTTTTTAATGTATATTTTAAGTGAGAATGCAGTTAACAGTGTCAGGTGCTGCAACATTTGGCCAAAGATAGAACTTAAAATGGCAATATACAATTTGTAAACATGGTTTAAAAGTAAACTAGTAGGACAGAGTCTAGAAAGGAGTCAAAGTAAGTACCAGGATGGACGGTTAAAAACTGATAGGTGAAGATGATGGAAGGGGGGGGGGGGGGGGGGGGGGGGGCATTAGTTACCAGGATTTAATGAATATTTCCAATTAAGTGGAGAAGAATCAATTAGAGAGTCATTAATTAGCAATCTAGTGTGATACCATTGGGTATATTGGAAGCACTTCATTAAAGACTGCCAACAGGTAGGGTTTGGATATAGTTACATAGATACATAGTTAGTCTGGCTGAAAAAAGACAAAAGTTCATTCAGTTCAACCATTAAAAAAAAAAAAAAAAAAGTTATAATCCTATACCCACAGTTGTTACAGAGGAAGGCAAAAAGCCCAGCAAAGCATAAAGAATTCCCAAATGTCAAAACATATTTGACCTGTGATTGTTTTGCTTAACCTCCTTGGCGGTATTCCCGAGTGTAGCTCGGGGTAAAATTTCAGTACCAAGAGCAGTAACCCCGAGCTACACTCGGGCTTACCCTGCGGCGTTGCTCAGGGAGTCCCTGCAGCACTTACCTTGTCCTTCGTTCCCGCGATGTATCCCCTGCAGCGTCCCCGGCCATCTCCTCCAGCCGATGCCGGCAT